GAAAAACCTTTAACCAGACTCATCAAGACAAAATAGGAAGGACCCAAATAAATTCAGAAATGAAAGAGGAGAAGTAACAACTAACACCAAAGAAATACAAAAGACTCCAAGAAAATATTAATAGCAACCATATGCCAACAAATTCAACGACCTGGATAAAATGGATAAGCTCCTAGAAACACATGAGGTCTGTCCAGAAGGTATCCAGCCATGTAATATGAAAAACAGAGACATTTATTGAAGCTGCAAGATACAAGAAACATTGTACACAGGACAGTGATGCCTCAGGAAGTTGGACAATTCTCCCAAAATAGATTAAAGACTTAAATGTTAGACCCCAAACCATAAAAATCCTAGAAGAAAATATACACAGTAAAATCTCAGATATATTTTTATTTGTATATGAAAATATATATCTGTACGAATATATATTTATCCATAGCAATATTTTTTCTGATATATAGCTCAGGCAAGGAAAACAAAAAAGAAAATAAACAAATGGGACTACATCGAACTAAAGTTTTGCAGAGCAAAGGAAACCATCAACAAAATAAAAAGACAACCTATGGAATGGGAGAGTATGTTTGTTGATACATCTGATAAGGAGTTAATGTCCAAAATGTATAAAGATCTTATACAACTCAACAGCAAAAAAAAAAAAAAAAAAAATCTAATTAAAAAATAGAAAAAGGACCTGAGTAAATACTTCAAGGAGGACATACAGATGGCAAATAGACATATGAAACGATGCTCAATGTAACTAATCACCAGAAAAATGCAAATTAAAAACACAACGAGGTATCATCGCACACCAGTCAGAATGGCCATCATCAATAAATGACCAAACACCAAGTGCTGGTGAGGATGTGGATGGGGAGGAACCCCTTTGCGCTGTTGGCGGGGACGCAGACGGGTGCAGCCACTGCGGGAAGCAGTATGGAGAGATCTCAAAAAATTAAAAACGGAACTGCCTTATAACTCACTGTTTCCGCTTCTGGGAATTTATTTGAAGGAACCCAAAACACTGATTTGAAAGAACATACACACCCCTATGTCCATTGCAGCATTATTCACAATTACCAAGCTATGGCAGCAGTCCAAGTGTCCATCAGTAAATGAGTGGATAAAATAACTATGGGACATTTAGACAATGGAATACCACTCAGTCATAAAAAATAAGAAAATTCCACCCTTTGCAACAGCGTGGATGGACCCGGGGAACATTATGGCAAGTGAAATAAGCCAGTCAGAGAAATCCATATGATTTCGTTCATGTGGAATCTAGTGAACAACGTGAACTAACGAGCAAAATAGAGACAGACTCACTGATAGAGAGGCTGACAGCTCTGGGCAGTGAGGCAATTAGGGGGCGGAGGGATGGAGCAAAAAGCAAAAAAGGACTCATGGAAGTGGACAGCAGTGTGGTGATTGCAGGGCACAGGAAGGCACAAGGGGAATAAATGGTAATGAAAAAACATAATAAAAATAAATTAATTAAAGATAAAATATTGTCACCTGGCATGGTGAACCCACAATACAATATACAGATGATATATTACAGGATGGTACACCTGAAGCCTATATAATTACATTAACCAATGTCACCCCAAAAATTCAATAAAAAGGAAAAAAATAGTAAAATATTGCCCAGCAAAGCAATAAATAAATGTGCTATTCAAACATATGCAGTATTTCTGCAATGGTCTGTTAAAGACTCCAACCTATACACCACCCACTTTAAATGATTCTAGTTCTGCTCTGCCCTCATTCTTTCCAAATCTCTCTCCTCTGCTTAGTCCCAAGTAATGCTTCACATACTAACTGTGTAAGGTCCATCTGTGCACAGTCATTCACATATATTTGGATGTGCTGGGTTCTACATTTTTTAAAAAAATCTATGTTTAGAATGAAGACTATAAATACATAAAACTTTTCTAGCACAACTATTTACTATAAATAAATATGCAAAACAAATCAATAAAATTTTTATTGCACAAAGCCTAGTTTGGGCTCTGTGGAACAAGGTAAATTGTAAGTTAACTTTCTATGTTTCCCAAAGCATCAGAGTTTTATCTGTCCCATTGATGTTCTAAATCCAAATAGCATTTCCCTAAAGTTGACAGTATCTTAGCAATATAACATTTTCCCACAGAACAATGGATCAAAATATCTGCATCATTCCTTAGGAAATTCTCACCACCAGTTCTTCATATTGATTTTTCTTGAAGGTTCAATTCCAAGCCAAACTAATCCTTCCTGTAACAGTAAAGCCGAGTCACAGTTTAACAAGTGTCTATGTTACATGCCATCCCTGGCCATGTTGGCTTTTTATGGCTGTCTTAAAAGTGCAATTTCATTGAGAAAAGGGAAAAAACCTAAGAAAATGTCATCTATACAACATTAAGTAGATTAAAATATTTTTCCCGTAGGTTGAATTTCTTTTCCAAAATAATTACTCGGTGAGATACCCTTATTTGGTTTAACAAAGAGCCGGAATGTCTCATTCACTGTGCTCTAGGCAGATGCAAGTAAATCGTGCACCGTGCTTTGCAGGGGGAGTTAGTGGAAAGGTGTGCAACACAAATAACAGTCTTACCACGCTGCTTTGGTACACTGACTCACTTTGCAAAATGTAACTGTACCCTCAAATATAAATTAAATGAGAATGCAGAAAACTCTGTCAGGCTGTCTCCTATCTATTTTTTTTTAAGGTAGTGCTTGGGGGAGAGAAACAAATAAACCAGATTCACAGCAATTTAGGTGAAAAGGTATTACTCACGTCCTGTATGTATCAACAGTCAGATTTCCTAGTACTAAGACTTTCTCAACCTAATAAAGATAATATTGTGTCAAATGATGTGAAGATTAGCCAAAGACCATACTGTTATTAAATGACTGAAGTAAAACTTTAAAAAAAAGAAAGGGGGTAGAGAGAGAGGGGAGGAGAAAGTAGGGAGGAAGGGACAATTAATTCATGAATGGGAGAAAATATTTACAAATCATGTATCTGGTAAGGGACATACATTCTGAATGAATAAAGAGCTCTTACAGCTTGCCAATAAAAAGACAAGCTGATTGAAATGGGCAAAGGATTTGAATTTCTCAAAAGAAGATATACAAATGGTCAATAACCATGAGACTCAAAGTTCAACATCATTAGTCATAAGGGCAATGCAGAACAAAATCACAATGAGATACTACTTAACACAACAAACACAATGACTGATGTTTTAAAAACAGAAAATAACAAGCGTTGGTGAGCATGTGGAGAAAAAGGAACCTTTTACATGGCTGTTGAGATTGTCAAACGGTGGAGCCGCTTAAGAAAACAGTTTAAAGGCAGCTCTTCAGAAAGTTAAACATAGAGCCACCATATAACCCAGCATTTCTACTTCTAGGTAGTTGCCCAAGAGAAACAAAGATGTACGTCCATGCAAACAAACACTGGCACACAAATGTTATTAACAGCATTACTCACAACACCCCAAGACCGGAACAAATGAAATGTCTATTAACTGATGAAAGAAAAAAGCCATGGTATTATCCATACAATGAAATACTATTTTAGCAATAAAAAGGAAAGAAATGTTGACAGATGCTACAACATCAATTAATCTTTTAAAAAACTACACAAGTGCAAGAAGGGCATCACGAGAGGCTATAATGCGACTCCATTTGTAGGAAATATGCAGAAGAAGCAAATCGGTAGAGAAAGTAGGTTAGTGCTTTAACAGGGGCCGGGCGGAAGGAAAACCCATCTGGTACTGGGTATGGGGTTTCTTTCTGGGGTAATGAAAAAATTTTGAAATTAGATAGTGGTGATGGTTGCACACGCCTATGAATATACCAAAAACCACTGAAATGTGTACTTGGTAAGAGTGAATTTTATGGTTATGTGAATGATATCTCAAGAAAGCTAGTATTTTAAAATGAAAGAAAAAACTGAAAAACACAATTTCAAATCAAGATATATTTTCGATTGTATCTTTTATTATAATACCATGACTGTGTCAGGAAGAGCAGAAGTCCAGGTCCCCTTTGGGGATCTCAGGTTTGACACGTGCACTGGGAAAGCCTTTTGTAAAGCAACGTCCGGCCTTTTGCAGGACGTTCCGGGGAACAGGCACAGGTGCCTCAGGCCTCTCGGAAGCTTTTCCCAAAATCCTGACTTTCTTGACCTGGACTGAAATGAAACGAAAATGTGCCACAAATTTCTGCTTTCTCTATCCTCTGCATGTCTGTTTATCGTTGTCCATGTTTCTAACTCTGGTTCATTAGATTCAAATCATGAACCTAAAAGCATGACATCCAAACCCTCTTCCTATACTAACCCAGGCTAAGTTAAGCACTGAATGTTACAATTACAGAACAGTGGATATTAGAATCACATAAAACTATTTGCCTGTCCTCCCAATCCATTCTGGTTGGACTCATGTATTCCAGACATACAAGGTACCTGATTCCTTTAAATTTTGAAAGAAGAGATAAAATACTTAAAAAAAAAAAAAAAAAAACACCTGTCTTACACTGCCACACCAAATAAATAGAAATGCCAAGCTGGTTCAGACAAATTAATAATCATGGAAAAACATTAGGCCCATTTTCATTATATGCATAACTCAACATCATTTTGGCTTCAAACAGCAACCAAATACCTTGATACTAATAGGACAGCATAAAATTTTAAAAGTGAGTTCACTTATAAAAATGTGGCTGAAGATCAGATACAAACCTTAAACCTAGCCAAGCATTATCAACAGCAAAATCCTACAGCTGTCCTCCCAGCCTTGAGGTGTGTCAACTGGATGGACGGCCTCAACTCCAATTTCCTTTATAGCATCCCCTGGACGTAATCCATTCTACTATTTCTCTCTCTCTCTGAGAATAATAAAGATCTGATGTCTAGCAAACTGAGCCTATGGTTTTAGAAGTGCTGGCGGCGCAGAATTCTCTGATGCTCATGGATGAGGGACTCACTGTCACCTCCCGTGCCATCATACCTGGTATGCACTGCGCCATGGCCTCGGTGGTTATGGTTGGGGCCACCTGGGGCTGCTGCTGACTGGAGCTCACTTCTGGCTCTGTGTTAACTGAGGGAGAAAGGGCCACCTCACAGGAGGAGACCTGGCTGGGCAGGTGGGGCAGGAAATCTTCGGAAGCAACTTGCTCATCCTGTCCAGGCAGCTGCAGGGCAGACAAAGGGATGCTGATCTGTTTGTTAGGATGGGATGTGCTCACAGGCATCTGCATGGCCACCTGCTGGTTGGTGCCATGCGCACCGGACGGCACTCTGTTTGGTGAAGCCAGAGGTGCCCTGGCGGTCTTCTGGACCACTGGTCTGGACATCACAGAGGGGGATGCAGAAACACCATGTGGGTCCAGGTCTGTGCTGAGGGCAGATGTTACATGGGGAATTAGCTTAGCAGCCCCGACACAGGAGGGACCAGCGTGAGTCTGAGGCTTGGGTTTGGCCATCTGCGTCAACGACAGGGCTGGTCCGTCTACTCCTCCAGTTAGCTCTGCATTTGCCACAATGTAATAATCTTCAGGAATCTCTTGTTTGATTTTCTTGATGATGACATCACTGCTGCACTCATCGACCATCTGAGCCTGGGAGCTTGAATGGAGAGAAGACGGGACTATTCCGGGCCTTTTTCGAGCAATGCTTTGAGGCCTTTGGGGTGGGGGTTCAAAGTCACTATCCTCATCTGTAACAGAGGACTCACAAACCATGTCAAACAGGGTGTTTTCATCTTCATACTCTTCAACAGCTTCGTCCAGCTCAGAGGGCTCACTGCAATAAGAGAAGTCACAAGAGTCTCTGGTCCGATTACAGTCTAGCTTCGCTTTCACCGGTCTCCCAGGGTACCTTTCAACTGGGCTAGTTTGTGTCTCAGAGGGCACTCCGATTATACTGGGACTATCAGAGTTAAAACTTCTGTTATCCTGGAAACAGACCCTTTCCTGGGACCCAGCTCTGCAAGTAGCCGTCAGTGGCCAGTGATAAGCGTGCCCGGCACTGCAGCCCCACATTGCGGTCAGGTTCCCGTGGGAACCTTCCGAAAGCAAGTGCTTCAGGTTAGGAATGAGGCTGCAAATAGTCCCGTGGCTGTGGGCCCAGCTGACCAATTTGGACAGATTCTCAGATGAGGTATGAAGGCAGTCCTCCATGTTACAGGATCAGCAGTGTCTTTCCTAGAGGGAAACAATCCAAATAAAAAGCCGTTATTACCCAGGATATTCCCGTATCTCGATTACTTCCATTTCCTTGAACTACGATCATCATGTAGCATAAAAAAGAAATGCACTTCAAAACTGGATCCAGCTAGTATCACTGCGCATGGACAGGCACTGGAAAATACAGCAAAAAGTATGGTCGTCAGAGCTGAGAAAATTCTTATTACTTTCCTTTATTAGTGTCTGTATAACGAGAGAGAGCAAGTTGGTTAACCAGTAAAAAAGTGAGCCTTTTCACAGTACATTGTACTTCCCAAGTCACAGAGTAGTTCAGTCAACCCCTTAGTAATAAAATATGTACACTTTCTATTAACCAAGGTGGCGCACTAAGAGCTTCCCCCTCTGCCATCACGCATGTCCTTGCTAGAGGCAGGCAGAGTCAACCAAGGCTCAGATCCGTTCCAGGATGGATGTGAGAGAAGGGAAGTCAATCCACCAGTCCTCTGCTGGGCACCAGAAAGCAAACAACGCACCCAGGAGTCCGAGAAGGGCAATGGGAGCTAAATTTGGGAAGTAGGGAAGACGTTTTTAGTAGAGAAGGAAGAGCAGATTGGGAGAACCACTAGTGGGCAGGATCCTGCTGGGGTGGGGGCCCGGGCTGGCTATAGACCAAAGGTCTGAAATTCTATGTTGAAATACTTGTCTTTATTTGCTAATAATAAAAAATGCAATTAATACAAACATCTTAGGAATCATCTAAACGATCTCCTTATATCCTAGTACTGCAGTGTAACTTCAGCACCCCGTTCGTTACCTTTGTATCTCTGCTCACACTAGTGTCCACAGCCACCGAAAGCGCCATCGCTCTACTTCCAATTTCTTGGGAAACTTGTTCATGCTGCATCCAATTACCCAGACATCCCCGGGAGTCAGGCAAACAGGCCCTTACAGCAGCTACACAATCTACTAAGCAGTCACCTTAAAACTTCAGTTCCAGAGTTTCCTTTAACAGAAATCCATCCTATGACCATGCTTTTCAGTGGCATCGCTTCATTCAAATGCAGAATGACACCAAGTCACTAGGCACGGGGAAAACTGCCATGAACAAGACAGTCATGTCTGTGCTCATGTGGAATTCACCATGGCAGGATCACAGGGGCAAACATTAATTATATATGAAATAATTCTGTTGCAATTCTGATACGAATTTTGCAAAAGCAATGTGCTAAGAGAGCATAAAACCAGGGAGAATTGTTCTCTTCTGGGGGATCGGAGAAAGTTTCTCCGAGAAAGTGATATTTAAGTTAAGAGCTGAAGGATTAGCAGAAATTCACAGATGAAAAGGAAAAGGGATGGGGCTGAAGGAGAGAAGAGACTTCTAGGCATAAGGATAAGCACGAGCAAAGAAAGACTCTAAGGAAGGTTCTGGAACTCCCCCCATTATATGCCTACCCTCAGCCATATTCTGCAGTATTCCAGCACCCACTCAGTGGGTCAGGATCATAGACGCAATGACCTGAAGTACTTCTCACCCTAACACAGCTCACCTGCCCTTTGCTAACAAACGCAGTTCACCATCTCTTTGGTGGCAGCATTCCATTCATTCAAATTGCTCTATAGGTGTTTATTAGTAGTACTACTTGATCACATTTTAAAGTGGTTTCCCCACCAATGAGCATGATTTCACATGATGATTCGTGCCTTACAGCCCATTCAAAGAAGGGCAGTAAATAGAAAAACAGAAAATCCCATCTCAAAGTTAAGCGGTGTTAACCTTTTTAGCTGCCTTTACATTTACATAGCCTCATTCTCCTGCTGGATTTTCTAAGACTTCAGGGAGCATCAGAGTCTGATAATGCAGAATCTGCCCTAGATGCTGAAAATATCGTCCCACATCGGTAAGTGAACTAAAGGCAGGCTGGTTCCCAACCGCAGAGAATCGTGTGGAAACATGCACGCCACTCGACTCTCCCTGGAACTGCTCTGGCCAAGGTCACAAACAGCCTCCACATCAGGGACTTCAATGGACATCCCTTGGTCCCCCCTTCCTTTGGCTTCTCGGCAGCTGAAAGAGCTTTCTGCCCTACATGAAGCCTCTCTTTCCGTGGCTTCCACCCTACTACCCTCCCTGCTCTGCTTTTTCCCAGTTTTCCTGGCTGGGGCTCATCACCCTCTTCTCGACCTTTAAAACTGAATTTCGTCAGGGGTCTGGCTCTCTGTTCATGTTCTGTCTCACTAGACTGTTGTCTCTCAACCACCTCTGTGGATCTGGTTATCAGGTGTATACCCTGACAGTTAGTATCCAAATTAACATCTCAGTAAATGCATTACCGTCTCCTCAGCTGCTGAAATCCGAATCCTGCGAGTCAGTCACCCCTGACTCCAATGTGCACCCACATTTCTACCCACAGGCTTGTGCAGGGCTGGTTCAATTCTCAGAACTCATCTCTGGCCTCTAGTTTCCAAAAATGACTAGGTTTCACAAAGATTCTGATTATTCCTACACTTCTAAAGCTTGTAGAAAAGAGGAAACATTCAGACAGACTTGTATTTTCTTTACTCATTATCATTTTAAATGTGGTCATGAGTATGGATACGATTATATAACATATGGATACAGTTACATAATACACAAATTAAATCTTACACCTTTACTAGTGCTCAGGAAAGGAAGACAGGTCTTTCTTATCCCTGTGAAGTACTTGCTCACGGGAATGAGCTGCTGTACAGATCACATTAACAGCCCCTCCATCCCAATCGGGGGTGGTGAGGAACGAAAGTGGTCCAGATGTGAATGACCAGTCTGAGACAGGCGCTGGGAATGTAACCCAGTTTCCTTCATGAAGTGAAACACTTCAGAAATAAAAGGGACACTGGTGACAGAACTAAGCCCCCCAACTCAGGGTCACAGCATTCATTTTAGAAAATATCACAGAAGGAAAGAAACCATTTTTCCTGAGAAATGCAAAGGAATCAAAAAATCGATATGGTTCTGGTTGAATATTATGTATGGTCCCTTTGTAAAAGCACATTCTGAATCCTTGATCTATTTACCTATTTTACAATTAATAAAGCATCACTTAAAATTCCTATAGCTGAAGATGGTTTTATATTTAGGCAGGCAAATCCCTTCTCATTATCTCTATTTTTCAAAAACTATATTCTAATTCCTAACTTCTATGGCAAAGATTTCAGTGTTTCACTAATTAAGTATGACACTAGATATTTCCCCCCAACAAAAATTTTAACATTGTTAAAACTTTTGTTGTTTCTGAATTATATAAGGAATGCTGAACTTTTATCACGTGTGTTAGTCAACTATAAATTTGATCTTTTTCCTTTTTCACATGGTAAGTTGTACTTGCAGATTTCTGAGTGCTGACCCACTTTGCATCCCCACTGCTACTTAATCAATTTCTGTCACTGGCTCTTTCTGACCTTTAAAGCTAAGTTTGCCAGCGGTCCTGGAAGGCCTCTCATGGAACTGTCTTGTTAGAGGACGCTTTCTTTCATCCACCTCTGTGAATCTCATTAGCAGATACATACTCCCTAATGTTTCCCTAATTAGTATCTTAGTAAATGGCACCACCATTCTCCCTATTGCTGAGGCCCAAATCCCAGAATTAGATTTCTAAGTGGCTCTTGTTTTTTTTTTCTTAAGATTTGGGGATCTTTACAAAAATACACAGCTCACTGATGCTACGTGGTCATGTGCAAGGCATCTCCCTGCTCTGCAACCCTTCCGTAAGCACTGAAGAAAGAGACTCTGGCCGGGCAGAAACCTCACCTGGTACTGTCGCTCCAGCACACTCAGGCTGCCACACAGCAGGCGTTCAATTGATACCGAACAAATATCGAATGACTGAATGCCAAGTGAACACACTCAGTTGAGTTCTTACGAATTCTTTGATTTGAAATATGCTTCCCACTTGTTCTGTCCACCTGTCAGCTCAACCGTGTGTGTCTCCCAGGTCTGACGACCTCCTGCCCAACCCGACTAGAACAGATGCCAAGAGAACAGACAGGGGTTAAAATCCACATGAAATATTCACTGGCTAAAAATCCTTCAACAAGTATGTATCATCTTTAACTGAAATTCCGTATTACTGACAATGACCCAGAAAGCCTGCTACAATTTTCTGCCTACCTCATTCAAGAAGTCTAAGTGAAAAGAAATGTATTATATCCGATCAACAACAAAATCAGAGAGTAAAGCTATAGGCCTGTGAATTAGATACGTGAACTTGTGCGTGTGTGTATAGTAGGTGGTAAACTTCTCAAAACTATGCCCAGTGCCATTCTAAGGAACTCAGCTGGGAGCTACTTGGCTTTGAGGGCAGCAGATGTTGCCCTGGATGCAGAGAGTTTCCAGGAGAGACCAACAGCCGGGCCTCCCAGGAAAGTAGAGTAGCTTCAACTTTTAGACTGCTAGGGTCCACTCAAAGAAGATAAGACATCACCGAGTATTCTGAACGTCGCCTGGCTCCCGAGAGGTAGCAGGTGAAGCCAGAGGGTGAAGACCATGACCACCCACTCTGTGTGGTACAACACCTCAGTCTTGGTTGTTCCTTAGCCTCTCACTGGCCTGGCCTGTGCTCTTGGGATCTCAGAAATATCTATGGTGACTAAAACTATAAATAAGATCATCAACTCTTTTCTTAAAATAAGTATAGTTGCTATCATACAATATCATACTAGTTATATTGGGTTCATGTGTACAATATGGATTTGACATTTGTGTACCTTACCATGTAGTCACCCCCTCATTCTGGTAATCACCTGTCACCATGTAAACTTATCACACTGTTCTTGACTAAACTCCCTTTCACCTTTTTCACTCCTTTCCCCAACCCATCTTTTTGGTCTGTTTCTGAGTCTGGTTTTGTAGTGTTTACTCATTTGTTCTGTTTTTGTTTTTTAAGATTCTACATGTAAGTGAAATCATATGGCATTTGTCTTTCTCTGTCTGACTTCATCACTGAGGACATTTTCTCGTTCCATCCACGTTGTCGCATGAGATATTCCTTCAAAATGCTGCCTGGACGTGAGCTCTGGCGTAGGTAACTATCACCTCCAAAACCAAGCCTTCCTGCTCCAATTTTTAGGAGACTCTTGTTCTTTTGGGGGAAACTCATCCATTAACTTTCCTAGTGGGCGGAAGAAGACTTTTCCCTGGCTTGTGTTAGAGGGCTCAGCACCAGTTTTCTTTCTGGATAATCCGACCCCATCTTCTTCCTTTCTTCCAGATTGTTTGGGGGGTGGGATGGGGGTTCTTCAGAAGTCTTCCTTCCTCTTTTCCTAGGGTTCCTACGTATTTTAATATAGTTGGCATTCCACTTGGCGTTAAGAGATGAGTGGAAAAGATGGTGATGTAGGCAGACACACAGTTCACCTCTTTGCACAACCACTTCGAAATTACAACTAGAATATAGAACAATCGTCGCTCAGGAACATCAGAAATGGAGTTGAATGGAAGTCTGACTACGGAAGTGAAGAAACCACACCCACCCAGACTGGTAGGAGGGGTGTGTACACGGAACAGGCCAGCTCCACGCCCATG